CATTTAAGCTTCTTAAAGTATTCTTTATTTACAGGATTTTTTTCAAACGTGCATGACATGCAATGCATAAATGTAAATATAAATGTAAATATACAACTTTTATTACAAATCCAGTACCATGACACTTTAACATTTGTAATCACATTATAAAGATGGTGGAATAAGTTTTGCCTGACAGTTCCTGAGGTCTTTGAATGTTCTTTTTGTATGTAAATGCATCGTGCTGTGAGTTAAACCATCCACATTGCCACAGTAATGCAAGTTTTTCTGAAGAAAGCAATGTCCCTCTACCAGCGAGAGAATCTGAGATAAAATATCACATTCTTTCTAGATTAAAAAACTGTACTTTTTACGTTTGGTCTAGACTCTATGATTGTACATGAACAGACTGTACTGGACGGTGGAACAGAAGCAGGAACGGGAAATGAGCCAAATTAGAGTCTAGTGGTGATGCATGTCTATTGTCACTGATAAAACTCATCCTGACTGCAATCTTGTGTACAAATCCACAGTTCATGAGATTATGAAACGCTCTGTATGACTTGTTAGCACTTGTCTTGTCAGATCACTACAAATACAACTGGATCAGCAACATGGACGAGAAGGTAGAAAGCTGATATGATAAGAGGTGGGTGTACAAATCATTCTGCAGAAGCCTTTAATGACCATGGAAGAGCATGCATCCTACACAGGCACTGGGAGAACAATGCAAAACTACCCATTGCACCACCTCTTGAGATTTATTTTATCATGTCGCTTTTAATGTTTTTACTAAGCAATGTATTAAGTATAGGGCAGGACGGTGGAACATTGTGCATTGTGGCTTTCCAGTTAGAAGGTTGTCGATTAGAGGTTCGCCGGTGACCTTCTTGGAAGGATCATGTTCTCTCTGTGCTTGCATGGGTTTCCTCTGGGTACTCCGGTTTTCCCCACAATCCAAAAAACATGCGGTGAGGTTAATTGAATAATCTAAATTCCCCTTTAGTGTGAATGTGTGAGTGAATGTCGCCCTGCGATAAACTGACAACCTGTCCAGGGTGTACCCTCGTCTCTCGCCCAATGTGCGCTGGAGATCGGCAGAGACCCCCGTGTTAGGGAATAAGTGGGTCGGAAAATGAATGAATGAACAATTGGATAAAATATAGAGTAAGTATATAATAAAATGTATGTGTAAATGGAGCCAACTCAAACACCCTTTGATAGGGAAAACCAAAACCTGAAAATAGTGTTGTAGTGCTCCAGACCGTTCTTGAGACCAATGTTCTATGGCCCGGTCTTGTCACAGAGCCACGGTGTCGGCTGTATAATCTTGGTCTTAGCGGCTCGATGTCTCAACTATGGGAGGAGCTGAAACTGTGAGAGGTGGAGCCGAGCTTTTAATGGGCAAATTGATTTATAAGAGCAGAGCGTAGCTCTACACTCATTCTGCTTTCTTCGAAAGAGCCGAACCCACTTACCTCTACGGACCTCAGATCAGTGACTTAAAGTACATGGCCAAGGGACATCTGCGTTCCCTCCTTCAGGGAACGCGGGTTACGAAAGTAACCTAAACGTTCCCTTTCAGTTGAGACGCAGATGGCGTCGATGTCTCAACTATGGAAACCCCTTTTAAAGCAGAAGGAGTGTGCCCCTGATGTGGAACAGGGGCACGCGGAGGCAGCTATCGAGACGTGAAGAGGGCTTACCGCAAGCGAAGAGCGTTCCGTCGGCTGTAAAAGGGGGTGGAATCGAAAAAGCCATCGTTCCCCGCCCAGGTAGGGGACGGAACGGAAATGGGGTAATACAAACACACAGAGGGGCTTTGTATAGAAAACACGGATTGGGCCACCCAGATAGGGGGGGTCCGCAAGTCCGGCCCGTGTTCTGTAGGGATCAGGCCCAGCGGCAAAACCTTACTACAGAACCTAGCAGAGCAGACTGCTCCGCGTCAGTCAGATGCCGAGAAGGTGGGAGGAAAGGGTTCACCGATCCACCAATCGGGAGACGTGAAAAAAGGTTCCTTCCTGCAGGACTAGGAACCTGCAGGCGCAGCACACCCTTGATGCGGGGGTCCTAGTGGTGCTTAGGCCCTGGATCAGAGCCCTCAACGGTGTTGGAGTTGGTGATGAGCATCGCTCGATTCACCCGCAGATTAGACGGAACGCACGCCTGACGCGTGAGGATGATGCGAGGGATCGCCTGACATCACTAGCCCCGCGCCGTCAGCTAAGGCCTCGGAGGAACTATCTGGTTCGCAGGACCACCGGGAGCCGGAGCTCCGGTGTCCTTTCCCCGAAAGAACCTCCTGTATCCCAGTGTGCGGCAAGGAAAAGCGGTGCAGAGCAGCACTCATATTGTCGCTTCACGAGAGCAACACGGCGTGTTTGTTGCCAAACACTCCGTGCTTTACTTGTGACTGTCTTCCGACGAGACCCATCACAGCCAGGAGAAGTACAGATTTTGCCCATCATCACGAAAAATGGACGAAACAAGACAAAATCTGCGGATACTGACAGGCTCTAGCTGGGAATCAGAGGTGCTGTGATAAGATGGCGTAGCCATCTGGGCTAGCAGCAGCACATCAAGTGCAGAGGTAAGCAACCTTTGATATTTCAGTGTGTTATGAGCGTCGAAATACAGAACAACCACCATTCGCTCCTCGGAAGAAGGCAGGATGAGTGTAGAGCTACGCTCTGCTCTTATAGAGCTATTGATTGCTAATCAACGTGATTGCCATCAACTTCACTCGCAAATCAATTTGCCCATTAAAAGTTCGGCTCCACCCCTCTCAGGTTGGGTTCCTCCCATAGTCGAGACATCGACGCCGTCTGCGTCTCGACTGAGAGGATACTAGGAAAGTTTACCTTTTTCACAATACTCCTGAGAACTCTTTGAGATATTATCATGTACAATTTAGTCGCAACTATTTACTTCATGTTCAACTAGTGATGGGTCGTTCTTGAGGGTTTCATTCAGTGGCGTATGCGCAACATCTTAATGTTTTTTTTTGAGTGTAGATCTTGATCTTTTCGGTTTCCGGCTCCTACTGCTTTGGTTAACATTAGGGAACTGTCACATAACAAAAGAATGAAAACACTCAAGAAAATAACTAACATTAATCAACTTGATTAAATCAAATCTCAGATCAGAGGTGAGGTCAACCAGACCCAGATTGTACTTAAGTATTTTTCATCAAAGAAAGACATGTTTTTTATTTTAAGATCTGCATCTGTAAAATATTCTCTATTCTCTACAATATATGTTTTTTTGAGAGACAAAGGCATGAAGTAGTATAAATAATCTGTCCTTATGAAAGAATGTACTTAGACACACATATGTTCACAGTTTAAATGTTTGTTGCACAGTAAAATGAGTCAAACATAATTTAAAATAATAACCTGCTACTAGAATTAACACCAGTTCAAAAACTATGAAACGTTTTTGATAGTTAGTCATAGTCATGTCTGTTGATACCTGACATGACTCGCAAATGTGCTTTTTGTAAATGCAGCAATATTCCCATGTGTGCAGCTGGGGGCACAGGCAGCACATCAATTAATGTCCGATAAATAGAAATAAAAAAAAAAGCCAAAAGACTTGATGTTGAACTTGAATTTGCATCTTATTTCGGCACCACATTATCTGTACCTTTTGGATTGTGCTCCCATTGTTAACAATGATGACCAGAGGAATTTCTGAGCAAACCTCCACTTCTATGGTGTACTTTAAACATTCTCAGTCAAATAATATGCATTCTTGACCCTGGTTAATGTTCATAAGTTGAAGGACATGAATAAACGATTACAGAAATTAATTCATTCATACAAAAGCAATATGAAAAAAAATAAGCCTGATTCTAGGTGGGGTTTATATAATTTTTTTTTTACATTTTATTTTAGTGAGCTCCAAATTTTTCTTTTTAGATGCTACCAACATGTTTATATATAAAATATACACATGTATATTGGTATGAAGTTCAAAATCCAACCTTGTTCCCCCAAAAAAGTAGGAATGCAAGAGAAGGAGATAGGGGAACCATGAAACCAGTCTGTGGCTTAATTTATTTTGGCAATAATGTCAGGCCTGAAGAAGTTAGGACAGAGCATCTAATTGCTAAACACAAATCTCTTGGAAGGACCTTGCAGCACTGCTTTACACAGTTTGAATAGAGAGTTCAAGCTTCAGTTTTTCAAAAGCACAACGTTCAAAGATGCAAGCTGTGCAGTTCTCCCATTGTATTTAATTCTCAGAGCAATCATATATATATATATATATATATATATATATATATAAAATAAAAATAAAAAATAGAAAGCTCAACTAAAATTGCTAAAAAATTTGCGATACATATGTGTGCTTGAAATTTTTCTTACTATAAAATGGAATATTTTAATTCCTTCTTGTTTCTGTAGTTTTACAATGTTACCACTTCATTTAACATTTACAAGTCTCTGCATGCACTGGAGCATTTGCCAATCACAGCAGCTGTTTTGACCTAAATAGGAGTGATGTGATCCATGTCAAAATATGACCCATGTGGCAAAAGGTTTAGCAGAATTTTTTTAAGAGAATTTTCACATTCATTTAAATTTGTCTATGCTTTCTTGGGGAATTTCTTGGGGACTTTTTATTCTGTCTCAACACATTAGATTAATGTTATATATTCATAAATTAATTTTCGCATAAAAATATAACTCAGAATAAAAATGTTGCACGCTTTCAGATTAATTGTGGAATTCTTTTGTAGTTTAATGAAGAAAAAAATATTTCTAAAAAAAATTAATTGGGGAAGTAATACAAATATATCAAGCATTGGCAAAAACTGTTTTAAAAGTAATTCATTAGAGCAAATTGTTAAGTGGTAAAAAACAAACACTCTAAAATGCCCCGGACTTCAAATAGTTTAGTAAATCACTTCAATTATATTATGAGACAATTATTACAAATCTTCTCATTTATGTATTTTTCAGATTATTTTATTCAATACAATAAAAGAAATTAACACATTTCATAGGTTTTTGTTTTCTCTTGGGGTTTGAACCCACAACCTTTACGTTGCTAGCACAATGCTCTACAAACAGGGTCACAAGAAAGCAAATTATATTATTATATAAGTTTACAAATATATATGTACTTATATTTTCTTGTCTTTTTTGTTGTGTTTTTCTCTCCTCTGTGAGTGCCTCCTCATATCAGATTCAGCTGCTGCTGTCTAATTAGAAAGCACCTGTCGCACAGTATGTTCTAATTTTACACTAAAACATCTATCGCTCTCTCTCCTTTGTCAGACTATTCTCATTAGTCAGAGTCTTGTCCTGTCTGATTCCGTGGCTCTGTGTGTTTTTTTCCCCCACTCTGAGTTATCTCTCTCTATTTCCACACTCTGGAGTCAGTGATTGTCAGGAACTGGGAGGCTCTCCACGGCCTGCTATTTCCCTGCTACGAGCAGCTCAGAGCATATGCTGGTATTCAAGACTCTTTGCTGTTATTCAAGACTATGACTGATCCCTTATTTGAGCTTATATTCAGGCGTATTGGCCAGTGGATGTCTCTGAGTATTAAATAAGCCCGAGTTTTTTGCATATGGGTTGTCTGTGCTTCTCCTGCACTTAACACCACTGCTGAACTCAAACAGTTTATTGCTGTTTAATTACATAAGAAAGTATTCGTGAAGTTCACGCCTTCGTTGGTTTTAGATCCTAAGCCCTTTATCACAAGCTTGACTTTCTTTTGTCTTTGCTTGACAGCTAATAAATAAATAAATAAAACAAGCAATCTGCAAATTAATGAATAATGCCACCATCTGCTGATGCCATTCTCAGATGCCATAAAGATGATTTCTCTTTCTGCCTATTCAGAGATTCTTAGAGAACAAGAGATTATAAAAACCCTTATGTCTATCCTAAACACATATTAGATTTCAGTAGAAGTGTTTCACTTACTTCCTTGTTTACTGAAACATATTTCTGTGAATCTATGAATCCAAACCAAATATAAGACTATTAACGTATGTCTGACTATTTGGAGTTTTGGAACCTTAAGCCATTAATCTGTAAATAAACTGTATATTTTTATCAGTGTTTTAACAATATTTTATTTCCATTTGAAGTAAAGGACTTTAATCAGAAATAAACAAATTAATAAACGGGGGAAAAATTGCCTCCAATCCCTGCAGCTTGAAGGTTTTGGGTGGCATTGAAGAAGTAGAGAGAAAAAGCTAGCTGGTGGTAGCCTACTGGTAAAATGTTTTTTTTTTTAACCTCTTAAGCCCGAAAGTCCCCGGTACCGGGGACTTGCCCCCTTGTGCGTTACATTTTCAATCATAGCTCACGAACCCTGAGAATAACCCACACATATTAAATACTGTTGTGTTCAGCGGAAACTCCTCTAAAAACGTATCTAATTCAATTTCATATCCGTTAACCACAGCTCGAACGCCATGCAAATAAACAACAACATGTCCGGAGTATAATTCATGACCACGTTTTTGTTTATGTGCGATATGTATCCACAATATAAGCGGAAACACCAAAACCATGGCATCAAATGAAAGCTAACAACCAGCTGAATCCAGCGATATGCAACTTATTTACATTGCATGAAGTATTTCAGAGCAGCGAGCGAAAGTTCCCCGAAAAAACGCCAGCAAAAACCAAGCAAGCATGTAAATCTTGTCTTACCTTTGCCGTTTTTTCAACAAAAAGTTATTTCCATAGTGATAAAAGTCCGTTTGTTGTTATGTCCGGTCAATAGCTTCGTGCAAACGCCATTTTGGATTATTTCTTTAGCTTTGTGGCGTCATTACGTCACCAAATATGGAATGACTCCCGGTGCGTAAGAGGTGGTCTCTCCACGCTGCGCGTCGTGTGATTCGTCGGCGATCCCGTCAGTCTCAAAATGATTGAGCTGATTGGTTTCCATAGAATCAGAGCTTTCCGTCGATATATAGATCTTCTGGATTGGACAGATGGTCGGGGGGGTAGGGACAAGCAGAAGCTCGACGTCGAAAGCGTTTGTGAATGAAAGGTTCCCAAAAGCCCAGCAAGATGGCGTAAATGAGCTTCTACCCCCCTTTTACAGCGTTTCTTTAGGAGTTTTTTTTGCTGAAATCATGTCCAGTAAGCAAGAAAAGAAGACTATGAACGTAGCTGAAGCTTTGGACAAGATTTTTCCATATTTCAATTATTGTGCCAAATTGTGCCAAACTGTGCCAACATGGATTACGCCTGAACTTTGTTCAATCAAAACCTTTACAGAATATTAGTTTCTTGTAGTATGAACACCAAACTTGCTACAGGTGTCCTTGACATGTAGTGGTTACAATTTATTGTGTTTATTTGCTTCGTTATAAGTAAAATAAGGAGATATTGGAGGAAACATGTGTTTTTTTTTTTAGGCGGAGTTCATTTTTTGGCCAATTCAACATCAATTACTCTTACCCAGTGTTCTTGACTGTCAAATTAACTCATCCACACCACTCCCCAAGAACCTATCTTCATTTTGATACCAAGATTTGCAGTTTAGACCTTGTAAAAGCTGAGAAATGCCTTAAAAAGTAAAAGTATAGGATTTTCGGAAAATAGGCCTCAGGGCTTAAGAGGTTAAATGTGTGGGTCAGCCAGACCCCAAACAGGTAAAAGTTTTACGAAAGCACAGCTCTTACCAGTTACATAGTGAACAAGATATATGCTATTTTTGTTGTCAAAATATGCCTTCCTCTCAGAGAGGTTCTCCCTCTTTCATTGCTTCCCTTCCCCCACTTCTCTTTGTTTCGCTTTCCCTCTGCCTGTTTCGGACCATACCATGTCATATCTATTTGCTTACCTGTTCATCTGTCTGCATGCCTGTTTGCTTACCAGTACATCTGTCTACATGCCTGTTTGCTTACCAGTTCGTCTGTCTACATCACCGCTGGCCTACCTATTCATCTGCCTACATGCCCGTTGGCCTACCCATTCATCTGTCTACATGCCCGTTGGCCTACCCATTCATCTGTCTACATGCCCGTTAGCCTTTTCATTCAACTGTCTACATCCCCATAGGCCTACCCAATCATCTGGCTACATCCCCATTGGCCTACCCATTCATCTATCTACATGCCTTTTGGCCTACCCTTTGATCTGTCTACATGCCCACTGGCCTACCCATTCATCTGTCTA